TAACTGGGTATACACTACAATATATAATGAATACTATATAGTGAACCAATAAAAAAAACTAAAATATAAATTACCTCAATGTTATCAATAAACTCTATATATTCTCCAATCACCTAAGCTACCAACAATAAGTCGTTATATATCACAAAGCTATATGGCGGAAACAAAAAAAATGGGTGTATTCTTACCCTCAACTTTAGCAACACGGATAGCTACGGGCCCCGTTCAGACGGACGAGTTCATCCATGGTCGGAACAGAGAAGGGGGAGAGAGACAGCTGCGAGGCGCTGTTATACTCCATGTTGCAAACCGTACCATTAACCGTGGTGTGAGAGGTATTAAGAGTCAATGCCAGCGAGAGAGCTGCGGTCTGAAGGTCATCGTAAAATACAATTCATTAAGAACGGAAATGGTTTAAAACATCTTTCCAATGGTTATTAAGCCAGAATCCATCTTCTCGGTTGAAATTTTCTCTGTGCTTGTATATGTGAATGGCCTCATGAACGAATCTCTCATGGTAGCCAGTTGGTTTGCATAGAACCTCCGTCTTGGAGAAGTCAATGTCATGTGAGCCCACTGAATTATAACAGTGATCTGCCACGGCAGAGGAATTCGTTCTACCGTGTTTCAAGTCTGCTTTATGTTCGCGGATGCAGTCCGAGATATGTCGTTTGGTTTCTCCAATGTAGTTACTACCACAGAGGCACTTTAGTTTGTAAACGCCCGGGTACTGTGTGTCTGGAACAGCATCTTTTACAGATGGAACTAGATCACGGATTTTATGTACTGTGTTGAATCGGACCTGGATCTTGTGTTTATTCAGGATTTTGGAGATCTTTTTAGTGACCCCTGCAATGTAGGGTAAGGTGATGGTTTTGAGTGGCTCCACAAGAGGATCCTTCTTCATGACTGGAGTGATGGCTTTGCGGATTGTGTAGTCGGAGTAACCATTAGCCCTGAGAGCCTGGTGTACGTGCTTGAGTTCACTGGTAATGTGTTCCTGGTCGGAAATGCATTGGGCTCTATGGTATAGAGTCTTGATGAGGGAGTTCTTCTGGGATGGATGGTGGTGGGAATCCGGTTTCAAGTAAGCATCTGTATGGGTAGCTTTCCTGTAGACAGAGTGGCTCATTGAACCATCATGTCTCCTTTTAATTAAGACATCCAAAAATGGTAGTTTGCCATCTTTTTCGACCTCCATGGTAAATCTGATGGCTGGGTGTATGGAATTGATGTGGTCGCAGAATTGGTCTAGAGCAGGCTGGCCATGTGGCCAGATGACAAAGGTGTCATCCACGTACCTCTTCCATAAGGTCGGGCGTAGAGTGGCAGTCTGGATGGCGTCAGTTTCAATTTTTTCCATGAATACGTTGGCTACAACCGGAGATAGGGGGGAGCCCATTGGGGTGCCCTCAGTTTGTTTGTAGAAAGTTCCATTCCAGGTGAAGTATGTGTTGGTTAAGTAATGTCTCACCAGGGGGGGTACATCAGTATGCAGTCCTTGATGAACCAGGTCTTCAATGATAGCGATGGTGTCAGGTACCGGGACTTTGGTGAACAAGGACACCACGTCAAAACTGACAAGCAGGTCGTCTGGGTACAGGGAAATGCCTTTTGATTGTCGATACCAGGTGAGTAGAATTTAGTACCGCAGAGGTGGTTTTTCCAGTGAAAGGTCGCAGTATATCAGCTAGAAAACGTGCCAGTTTATAGGTGGGGGAGTTGATAGTAGAGACGATGGGACGAAGGGGTGTATCTTCTTTGTGTATCTTTGGAAGGCCATATAGACTCCAGCGCTGTCCTCCAGACAGTCTCGTCCCTTCACCTGATGAAGGCCGCTTGTGTTGTGGCCGAAACGTCGTGAGAACATTGTGTTATTTTATTTTATCAATTTATTATTTTATTCTCATCCTACGTGACTTTACCGAAAGAACCAAAGAAGATGAATCCTTGCAGTCACGAAAGCTTTAAATCGAAATTTAACCGCCTCTACGGGGAGGGATTCCACACAACCTTAAGATCATTCAACAGACTCCGGGATAAGAAGGCTCAACTAATTGAGTCTCTCACCTTTCTGAACAGATGCCGCGACTCTAAGGTAATACCAACCGCATTTACACTAACCTCTGCTGCTGCAACTTCTCTCAATGCAAAACGAATTCTAGCTAGATCTAGCTTCGCTCTTATCTCGGAAAAAATCAGACTTACACGCGCCGAACTCGATCAGTTAGACAAGACACTCTACAAATCACACTTAACATTGACAGCAACAATGTCTACATCGGATTGGGAACATGTAGACAATTTGAATACCTCTTCGGCTGCCACTATGTCGACCAAATGTAGGGACAATTTGATTTCCAAATTCAATCACCTCTCCAACAAAAAATCAGATCGACACACCGAAAAGATAGACGTCAACAAAGTCGTAATTAATCGCAGTAACAGTTCCATTTCTGATGGTCTGAAATCAGTTTTAGCTAAAGGTCTAAACTTTGCTGTCACACCGAGACACTTACCGGTTAAAGATATCATTGCCCATGTCGACGTTGCGCTCAAGAGCTTGAGTCACATCTCTGCAGATGTAACAAGATCTGAAATCGCTGCAACTCTCAAAAACGCTAAGTTGCCACCCAGCAACATCAACAAAGACGAACGTTTTGAATTATCTCAATAAAAAAGAGGTGATATTGTCGTCCTCTCAGCCGACAAGGGCAATGCCACTTTACCAGTGAACTCAAGCACGTACACCAGGCTATCAGGGATAATGGTTACTCGGACTACACAATCCGCAAAGCCATCACTCCAGTCATGAAGAAGGATGCTCTTGTGGAGCCACTCAAAACCATCACCTTACCTTACATTGCAGGGGTCACTAAAAAGATCTCCAAAATCCTGAATAAACACAAGATCCAGGTCTGATTCAACACAGTACATAAAATCCGTGATCTAGTTCCATCTGTAAAAGATGCTGTTCAGACATACAGTACCCCGGCGTTTACAAACTAAAGTGCCTCTGTGGTAGTAGCTACATTGGAGAAACCAAACGACATATCTCGGACCGCATCCGCGAACATAAAGCAGACTTGAAACACGGTAGAACGAACTCCTCTGCCGTGGCAGATCACTGTTATAATTCAGTGGGCTCACATGACATTGACTTCTCCAAGACGGAGGTTCTTTGCAAACCAACCGGCTACCATGAGAGATTCGTTCATGAGGCCATTCACATATACAAGCACAGAGACAATTTCAACCGAGAAGATGGATTCTGGCTTAATAACCATTGGAAAGATGTGTTAAACCATTTCCATTCTTAATTCATTGTATTTTACGATGACCTTCAGACCGCAGCTCTTTCGCTGGCATTGACTCTTAATACCTCTCACACCACGGTTAATGGTATGGTTTACAACATGGAGTATAACAGCGCCTCGCAGCTGTCTCTCTCCCCCTCCTCTGTTCCGACCATGGATGAACTCGTCCGTCTGAACGGGGCCCGTAGCTATCCGTGTTGCTAAAGTTGAGGGTAAGAATCCACCCATTTTTTCGCCATGTAGCATTGTGATATATAATGACTTATTGTTGGTAGCTTAGCTGATTGGAGAATATATAGAGTTTATTGATAACATTGAGGTAATTTATATTTTAGTTTTTTTCATTGGTTCACTATATAGTATTCATTATATATTGTAGTGTGAATAGCTCAGATGTGTAGGCCTTGACTTCAACATAGCCATTTCTGTGACCAGTCACAAGCTAATCACTCAGTTATTTCAATCCTAAATTCGCCTAGTTATTTCAATGCTAAATTCTCCTGTTTGATTTGTACTAGGTGTCTCTGTGAATGTATATGCTCTGACTTTAACATCGCCATTTCTGTGACCAGTCACAAGCTAATCACTCAGCAATTTCAATGCTAAATTCTATGCTAATTCCTTTGTCAAGGGGTGCCTCTGCGGATGTGTATGCTTTAACTTAGATATTTCAATGGTAAATTCTATGCTAATTCCTTTGTCAAGGGGTGCCTCTGCGGATGTGTATGCTTTAACTTTAACATAGCCATTTCTGTGACCAGTCACAAGCTAATCACTCAGCCATTTCAATGCTAAATTCTATGCTAATTCCTTTGTCAAGGCGCTTTGTTTCTTCTCACACAGTTTAAAGGTCGCGATCTGAGCGTGGCTTTTTTCACTCCAGCGCTGTCCTCCAGACAGTCTCGTCCCTTCACCTGATGAAGGCCGCTTGTGTTGTGGCCGAAACGTCGTGAGAACATTGTGTTATTTTATTTGATCAATTTATTATTTTATTCTCATTCTACGTGACTTTACCGAAAGAACCAAAGAAGATGAATCCTTGCAGTCACGAAAGCTTTAAATCGAAAAATGATGCTGCTGCTAATGATGATGATAATGTAGCTACTTCTGCTGCTAATGATGATGATGCTGCTAATGATGATGCTGCTACTTCTGCTGCTAATGATGATAATGATGCTGCTAATGATGATGCTGCTACTTCTGCTGCTAATGATGACAAGGATGATGATGCTAATGATGATGCTGCAACTTCTGCTGATAATGATGATGCTGCTACTTCTGCTGCTAATGATGATAACGATGATGCTGCTAATGATGATGCTGCTACTTCTGCTGCTAATTATGATAATGATGATGCTGCTAGTGATGATGCTGCTACTTCTGCTGCTAATGATGACAATGATGATGATGCTAATGATGTTGCTGCAACTTCTGCTGATAATGATGATGATGCTGCTACTTCTGCTGCTAATGATGATAACGATGATGCTGCTAATGATGATGCTGCTACTTCTGCTGCTAATGATGACAAGGATGATGATGCTAATGTTGATGCTGCAACTTCTGCTGATAATGATGATGCTGCTACTTTTGCTGCTAATGATGATAACGATGATGCTGCTAATGATGATGCTACTACTTCTGCTGCTAATGATGACAATGATGATGCTGCTGCTAACTTACTGGTGCTGCCGCTAGGTGGAGGAGGTTTGGTGCTCTCCCCCTTCTCGTCGCACTCCGAGCCCTTGAGGCCCAAGCCAAGGCCCAGGCCCAGGGCCAGGGACAGGCCCAGGATGAGCGCGGCACCCAAGATGAGAAGGCTCTTCGAGGGCCAGCGGCGCCGCTGCCGTGGTTGGGGTTTACTGTCCATCTCCATCTGGGGGGTCGTGGCTCTTCCTGGGAAACAGCAGCAGCAGCACAAGCATCGTTTGCAGCAGTAGTAGAAGCATCATCAGTAGAAGCATCATCAGCAACAGCAGTAGAAGCATCATCAGCAAGAGCAGTAGAAGCATCATCAGCAACATCAGTAGGAGAATCATCAGCAACAGTAGTAGAAGCATCATCAGCAACATCAGTAGAAGAATCATCAGCAACAGTAGTAGAAGCATCATCAGCTACAGCATTAGAAGCATCATCAGCAACAGCAGTAGAAGCATCATCAGCTACAGCAGTAGAAGCATCAACAGCAACAACAGTAGAAGCATTATCAGCAACATCAGTAGAAGCATCATCAGCTACAGCAGTAAAAGCATCATCAGCTACAGCAGTAGAAGCATCATCAGCTACAGCAGTAGAAGCATCATCAGCTACATCAGTAGAAGCATCATCAGTTACAGCAGTAGAAGCATCATCAGCAACAGCAGTAGAAGCATCATCAGCAACAGCAGTAGAAGTATCATCAGCAACATCAGCAGAAGCATCATCAGTTACAGCAGTAGAAGCATCATCAACAACATCAGTAAAAGCATCATCAGCAACAGCAGTAGAAGCATCATCAGCTACATCAGTAGAAGCATCATCAGCTACATCAGTAGAAGCATCATCAGCTACAGCAGTAGAAGCATCATCAGCAACATCAGTAAAAGCATCATCAGCAACATCAGTAAAAGCATCATCAGTTACAGCAGTAGAAGCATCATCAGCTACATCAGTAGAAGCATCATCAGCTACAGCAGTAGAAGCATCATCAGCAACATCAGTAAAAGCATCATCAGCAACATCAGTAAAAGCATCATCAGCTACAGCAGTAGAAGCATCATCAGCAACATCAGTAAAAGCATCATCAGCTATAGCAGTAAAAGCATCAGCAACAGCAGTAGAAGCATCATCAGCAACAACAGCAGTAGAAGCATCATAATCAACATCAGTAGAATCATCATCATCATCAACATCAGTAGAAGCATCATCAGCAACATCAGTAGAAGCATCATCAACAGCAGTAGAAGCATCATCAGCAAGAGTAGTAGAAGCAGCATCAGCACCAGCAGTAGAAGCAGCATCATCAACAGCAGTAGAAGCATCATCAGCAACAGCAGTAGAAGCATCATCAGCAACAGCAGTAGAAGCATCATCAGCAGCAACAGTAAAAGCGTCATCAGCAACATCAGTAGAAGCATCATCAGCTACATCAGTAGAAGCATCATCAGCTACATCAGTAGAAGCATCATCAGCAATAGAAGCATCATCAGCTACAGCAGTAGAAGCATCATCAGCTACATCAGTAGAAGCATCATCAGCACCAGCAGTGGAAGCATCATCAGCTACATCAGTAGAAGCATCTTCAGCACCAGCAGTAGAAGCATCATCAGCACCAGCAGTAGAAGCATCATCAGCAACAGCAGTAGAAGCATCATCAGCTACAGCAGTAGAAGCATCATCAGCTACAGCAATAGAAGAATCATCAGCAAAATCAGTAGAAGCATCATCAGCAACAGCAGTAGAAGCATCATCAGCTACAGCAGTAGAAGCATCATCAGCTACAGCAGTAGAAGCATCATCAGCAACAGCAGTAGAAACATCATCAACAACAGCAGTAGAAGCATCATCAGCAACAGCAGTAGAAACATCATCAACAACAGCAGTAGAAGCATCATCAGCAACACCAGTAGAAGCATCATCAGCAAAATCAGTAGAAGCATCATCAGCAACAGCAGTAGAAGCATCATCAACAATAGCAGTAGAAGAATCATCAGCAAGAGCAGTAGAAGCATCATCAACATCAGTAGAATCATCATCATCAACATCAGTAGAATCATCATCAGCAACATCAGTAGAAGCATCATCAGCAACAGCAGTAGAAGCATCATCAGCAACAGCAGTAGAAGCATCATCAGCACCAGCAGTAGAAGCATCATCAGCAACAGGAGTCGAAGCATCAGCAGCAGCATCAGCAACGGTACAAGTATCATCATCAGCATCATCAGCTGCAGCAGTAGAAGCATCATCAGCAACAGCAGTAGAAGCATCATCAGCAACAGCAATAGAAGCATCATCAGCACCAGCAGTAGAAACATCATCAGCTACAGCAGTAGAAGCATCATCAGCAGCATCAGCAACGGTACAAGTATCATCATCAGCATCATCAGCTGCAGCAGTAGACGCATGGACCGCATCGTATGAGCCGTTCGTCCCGTTGTGCGTTAACTTTTCCTGGCCTATGGTGATGTTTGTGGGCACTTTCATTTTCTTACACTTGTGTAATTCATAGCGCCACTTTCGCCGATAAGACATCATCGGAGTAAGGGCCGCCACACATTGTAAACCAGTGGGGTGGGGGGTTGTGACAGCAGCATAGTGATGATGGGGGGGGGGGGGTTGTTCGTGTTTTGTCGGTGGGGGCCGCAGGTCAGAACCCGCCGGGGACATGCTATGAAGAACGGTGGGGGAGCCCCCCCCCCCCCACTCACCACCACTGTGAACATTAACTCACTCACTCACCATCACTGTGAACATCAACTCACTCACTCACCACCACTGTGAACATCAACTCACCCACTCACCATCACTGTGAACATCAACTCACTCACTCACCATCACTGTGATCATCAACTCACTCACTCACTCACCATCAATGTGAACATCAACTCACTCACTCACTCACCACCACTGTGAACATCAACTCACTCACTCACTCACCACCACTGTGAACATCAACTCACTCACTCACCACCACTGTGATCATCAACTCACTCAATCACTCACCATCACTGTGAACATCAACTCACTCACTCACCATCACTGTGAACATCAACTCACTCACTCACCACCACTGTGAACATCAACTCACTCACTCACCACCACTGTGATCATCAACTCACTCAATCACTCACCATCACTGTGAACATCAACTCACTCACTCACTCACCACCACTGTGAACATCAACTCACTCACTCACCATCACTGTGAACATCAACTCACTCACTCACTCACCACCACTGTGACCATCAACTCACTCACTCACTCACCATCACTGTGACCATCAACTCACTCACTCACCATCACTGTGAACATCAACTCACTCACTCACCACCACTGTGAACATCAACTCACTCACTCACTCACCATCACTGTGACCATCAACTCACTCACTCACCATCACTGTGAACATCAACTCACTCACTCACTCACCATCACTGTGACCATCAACTCACTCACTCACTCACCATCACTGTGACCATCAACTCACTCACTCGCCACCACTGTGACCATCAACTCACTCACTCACTCACCACCACTGTGACCATCAACTCACTCACTCACTCACCACCACTGTGACCATCAACTCACTCACTCACCACCACTGTGACCATCAACTCACTCACTCACCATCACTGTGACCATCAACTCACTCACTCACCATCACTGTGAACAGCAACTCACTCACTCACCATCACTGTGAACATCAACTCACTCACTCACTCACCATCACTGTGACCATCAACTCACTCACCACCATCACTGTGAACATCAACTCACTCACTCACTCACCATCACTGTGACCATCAACTCACTCACTCACCATCATTGTGACCATCAACTCACTCACTCACCATCACTGTGAACATCAACTCACTCACTCACCATCACTGTAACCATCAACTCACTCACTCACTCACCACCACTGTGACCATCAACTCACTCACTCACCATCACTGTGACCATCAACTCACTCACTCACTCACCACCACTGTGAACATCAACTCACTCACTCACTCACCATCACTGTGACCATCAACTCTCTCACCCACTCACCATCATTGTGAACATCAACTCACTCACTCACTCACCATCACTGTGACCATCAACTCACTCATTCACCATCACTGTAACCATCAACTCACTCACCATCACTGTGAACATCAACTCACTCACTCACCACCACTGTGAACATCAACTCACTCACTCACCATCACTGTGACCATCAACTCACTCACTCACCATCACTGTGAACATCAACTCACTCACTCACTCACCATCACTGTAACCATCAACTCACTCACTCACCATCACTGTGACCATCAACTCACTCATTCACCACCACTGTGAACATCAACTCACTCACTCACCACCACTGTGAACATCAACTCACTCACTCACCATCACTGTGACCATCAACTCACTCACTCACCACCACTGTGAACATCAACTCACTCACTCACTCACCATCACTGTGACCATCAACTCTCTCACCCACTCACCATCATTGTGAACATCAACTCACTCACTCACTCACCATCACTGTGACCATCAACTCACTCATTCACCATCACTGTAACCATCAACTCACTCACTCACCATCACTGTGAACATCAACTCACTCACTCACCACCACTGTGAACATCAACTCACTCACTCACCATCACTGTGACCATCAACTCACTCACTCACTCACCATCACTGTGAACATCAACTCACTCACTCACTCACCATCACTGTAACCATTAACTCACTCACTCACCATCACTGTGACCATCAACTCACTCATTCACCATCACTGTGACCATCAACTCACTCACTCACTATCACTGTGACCATCAACTCACTCACTCACTCACCATCACTGTGACCATCAACTCACTCACTCACTCACCATCACTGTGACCATCAACTCACTCACTCACTCACCACCACTGTGACCATCAACTCACTCACTCACTCACCATCACTGTGAACATCAACTCACTCACTCACCACCACTGTGAACATCAACTCACTCACTCACCATCACTGTGACCATCAACTCACTCACTCACCACCACTGTGACCATCAACTCACTCACTCACTCAAAAGAAGACAAAGACAAAAATTCCCTGTATAGCCTTAACAGACTGTTGGGGCAAGTGCTGTTAGCGAGCACCTATTAAGGCCGGAACGGCAAACAACGGGGTGGTGGGTCAAATCAACTCCCGGCCGCCTTTGTCTCTCCACTGGTGATGTTTACACGCCGCACCAGGTACTGCACTCATTTGAGGCTGAGTCGCCCTAGGCGATGCCCAGGACCGCTGCGATACACGGAGGGGGTTCCTGGTGCCAACATTACCACGCCCGGCCGTCTTTGTCTCCCTCATGCTGCTGTTGTTTTACACAGCGCAACCAGATTTCTCATTTCAGGCTGAGTCGACCGGAATCTTATCGCAGCGTGCTAACCACTACACAACCGCTCCTCACTTCACATATATAAAGACAAAGGTCACCCGCGTAGCCTGTCACAGACTGTTGGGGCAAGTGCTGTTAGCGACTTGCAGGCCGGCACGGCTTACACGAGGGGGTCGGTGGCCAGCACCACTCCCGGCCGCCTTTGTCTCCCTCGTGCCGAGATGTTAACTACCTCGCCTGGTATACAGTCTCTCTCCACGTGTTCGCGTGGATTCCCCTCCACATTTAGAAGCGACATCACGCGTTTAGACTCTTTGGCTGCTATGCATGTCCGCGTGTGATCGGCCACTTCGGTGAGCTTCTGACAAAAAAAAGAGAGCCCTATCGCTCAATGGGCCTTTCCTGGTCGAAATTAAGTTTAGTTAAATCTTTACACGCCGCACCATGGACTCGTTTGAGGCCGAGTCGATCTACGGGAGGCCCAGGGCCGGTACAGAAAATCGCCGTGAGCGGGATTCCAACTCGGGGCTTCGAGTTAATACGCACACACACACACAATTGTGCACATACACACAATTGAATGATGATGATGATGTTGGTGGTGATGAAATTAAATGACTGACGATGATGTTGTTGCTTGGTGATGATGATGATGATTGTGGTCTGCATCTGGCGGAGAGGCTCGCGTGTCCACGCAATGCGCATCTTCAAAATCCGATGAGCTATAAAGCTCTAGATTTGAAGCTTTCGTGACTGCATGGATTCATGCTGTTTGGTTTCTTGGGTAAAGTCACGTGGGTAGAAAATAAATTAAAATGAACCACGACGTTTCGGGCGCAACACAAGCGTCCTTCTTCAGGTGGGGATAACGTAGCACAAACGCTTCAGTGTGTCTCAGACACACTGACGCGTTTGTGCCTTCACAACGTTGTCCCCAACTGAAGAAGGACGCTTGTGTTGCGCCCGAAACGTCGTGACTTAATTTAGTTGTTTTCATTTGTTTTAATTTTTTTTTACCTACGTGACTTTACCGACAAAAGCAAAGAGTTGCGAGCTATAAAGTAACTTTTCACAGATTTCCCATCTTCGTGACGACGACGATGATGAAGATGATGAAGATGATGATGATGAAGATGATGATGAGTTACCTTGCTTTCCTCTTCAGCTCTCCTCTCCGGGTCTGAGTGAAGACTTCGTGTGGACTTTGGAATCCACCAATCATCCTCCCGGCTCCTGCTGAAGTTCCACACCCCCCCCCCACCACCACCACCCGCTGTCCCTCTACCTCCCTCTCGATGTCCCTCAGCCACTCACACAGAGAGCCACAGACTCACACAGAGAGCCACAGACTCACACAGAGAGCCATCGACTCACACAGAGAGCCACAGACTCACACAGAGAGCCACATACTCACACAGAGAGCCACAGACTCACACAGAGAGCCACAGACTCACACAGAGAGCCATCGACTCACACAGAGAGCCACAGACTCACACAGAGAGCCACATACTCACACAGAGAGCCACAGACTCACACAGAGAGCCACAGACTCACACAGAGACTAACACAGACCCACACTCACACAGAGATCCAGACTCCCACAGAAACCCACAGACCCACACAGAGACCCATATACTCACAGAGAGACTCACACAGAGACCCACAGACTCACACAGAGTCTCACACAGAGATTCACACAGACTCACACAGAGTCTCACACAGAGATTCACACAGACTCACACAGAGTGTCACACAGAGACCCATAGACCTACACAGAGCCACAGACTCACAAAGAGACCACAGACTCACACAGAGAGCCATCGACTCACACAGAGAAAGACTCACACAGAGAGCCACAGCCTCACACGGAGAGCCACAGACTCACACAGAGACCAACAGACTCACACAGAGAGCCATCGACTCACACAGAGAACCATAGACTCACACAGAGAACCACAGACTCACACAGAGAGCCATCGACTCACACAGAGAGCCACAGACTCACACAGAGAGCCACAGACTCACACAGAGAGCCATCGACTCACACAGAGAGCCATCGACTCACACAGAGACCACCGACTAACACGGAGAGCCACAGACTCACACAGAGATTAACACAGACCCACACTCACACAGAGACCCATAGACTCCCACAGAAACCCACAGACCCACACAGAGACCCATATACTCACAGAGAGACTCACACAGAGATTCACACAGACTCACACAGAGAGTCACACAGAGACCCATAGACTCACACACAGCCACAGACTCACAAAGAGACCACAGACTCACACAGCAAGCCATCGACGCACACAGAGACAGACTCACACGGAGAGCCATCGACTCACAGAGATAGCCACAGACTCACACAGAGAGCCACAGCCTCACACGGAGAGCCACAGACGCACACAGAGAGCCATCGATTCACACAGAGACCCATAGACTCACACAGAGAGCCACAGACTCACACAGAGAGCCACAGACTCAGACGGAGAGCCACAGACTCACACAGAGACCCATAGACTCACACAGAGAGCCACAGACTCAGACGGAGAGCCACAGACTCACACAGAGACCAACAGACTCACACAGAGAGCCATCGACTCACACAGAGAACCATCGACTCACACAGAGAGCCATCGACTCACACAGAGAGCCACAGACTCACACAGAGACCAACAGACTCACACAGAGAGCCATCGACTCACACAGAGATCCACAGACTCACACAGAGAGCCACAGACTCAGACGGAGAGCCACAGACTCACACAAAGAGCCACAGACTCACACAGAGACTAACACAGACTCACACAGAGACCCACAGACTCACACAGAGACTCACACAGAGCTTCACACAGACTCACACAGAGAGTCACACAGAGACCCATAGACTCACACAGGCACAGACTCACACAGAGAGCCATCGAGTCACACAGAGAGCCACAGACTCACACAGAGGGCCATCGAGTCACACAGAGAGCCACAGACTCACACGGAGAGCCATCGACTCACAGAGATAGCCACAGACTCACACAGAGAGCCACAGCCTCACACGGAGAGCCACAGACGCACACAGAGAGCCATCGATTCACACAGAGACCCATAGACTCACACAGAGGGCCACAGACTCACACAGAGAGCCACAGACTCAGACGGAGAGCCACAGACTCACACAGAGACCCATAGACTCACACAGAGAGCCACAGACTCAGACGGAGAGCCACAGACTCACACAGAGACCAACAGACTCACACAGAGAGCCATCGACTCACACAGAGAACCATCGACTCACACAGAGAGCCATCGACTCACACAGAGAGCCACAGACTCACACAGAGACCAACAGACTCACACAGAGAGCCATCGACTCACACAGAGAACCATAGACTCACACAGAGAGCCATCGACTCACACAGAGATCCACAGACTCACACAGAGAGCCACAGACTCAGACGGAGAGCCACAGACTCACACAAAGAGCCACAGACTCACACAGAGACTAACACAGACTCACACAGAGACCCACAGACTCACACAGAGACTCACACAGAGCTTCACACAGACTCACACAGAGAGTCACACAGAGACCCATAGACTCACACAGGCACAGACTCACACAGAGAGCCATCGAGTCACACAGAGAGCCACAGACTCACACAGAGGGCCATCGACTCACACAGATAGCCATAGACTCACACAGAGAGCCACAGACTCACACAGAGAGCCATCGAGTCACACAGAGAGCCACAGACTCACACAGAGGGCCATCGACTCACACAGATAGCCACAGACTCACACAGAGAGCCACAGACTCACACAGAGAGCCATCGAGTCACACAGAGAGCCACAGACTCACACAGAGAGCCATCGACTCACACAGAGAGCCATCGACTCACACAGAGAGCAATTGACTCACAGAGAGCCGTCGACTCACATAGAGAGCCACAGACTCACACAGAGAGCCACAGACTCACACAGAGACCAACAGACTCACACAGATAGCCACAGACTCACACAGAGAGCCACAGACTCACACAGATAGCCACAGACTCACACAGAGAGCCACAGACTCACACAGAGACCAACAGACTCACACAGAGAGCCACAGACTCACACAGAGACAGACTCACACAGATAGCCACAGACTCACACAGAGAGCCACAGACTCACTCAGAGAGCCACAGACTCACACAGATAGCCACAGACTCACACAGAGAGCCATCGACTCACAAAGAGAGCCATTGACTCACACAGAGACACAGACTCACACAGAGAGCCATCGAGTCACACAGAGAGCCACAGACTCACACAGAGGGCCATCGAGTCACACAGAGAGCCACAGACTCACACGGAGAGCCATCGACTCACAGAGATAGCCACAGACTCACACAGAGAGCCACAGCCTCACACGGAGAGCCACAGACGCACACAGAGAGCCATCGATTCACACAGAGACCCATAGACTCACACAGAGAGCCACAGACTCACACAGAGAGCCACAGACTCAGACGGAGAGCCACAGACTCACACAGAGACCCATAGACTCACACAGAGAGCCACAGACTCAGACGGAGAGCCACAGACTCACACAGAGACCAACAGACTCACACAGAGAGCCATCGACTCACACAGAGAACCATCGACTCACACAGAGAGCCATCGACTCACACAGAGAGCCACAGACTCACACAGAGACCAACAGACTCACACAGAGAGCCATCGACTCACACAGAGAACCATAGACTCACACAGAGAGCCATCGACTCACACAGAGATCCACAGACTCACACAGAGAGCCACAGACTCACACAAAGAGCCACAGACTCACACAGAGACTAACACAGACTCACACAGAGACCCACAGACTCACACAGAGACTCACACAGAGCTTCACACAGACTCACACAGAGAGTCACACAGAGACCCATAGACTCACACAGGCACAGACTCACACAGAGAGCCATCGAGTCACACAGAGAGCCACAGACTCACACAGAGGGCCATCGACTCACACAGATAGCCATAGACTCACACAGAGAGCCACAGACTCACACAGAGAGCCATCGACTCACACAGAGAACCATCGACTCACACAGAGAGCCATCGACTCACACAGAGAGCCACAGACTCACACAGAGACCAACAGACTCACACAGAGAGCCATCGAGTCACACAGAGAGCCACAGACTCACACAGAGAGCCATCGACTCACACAGAGAGCCATCGACTCACACAGAGAGCCATTGACTCACAGAGAACCGTCGACTCACATAGAGAGCCACAGACTCACACAGAGAGCCACAGACTCACACAGAGACCAACAGACTCACACAGATAGCCACAGACTCACACAGAGAGCCACAGACTCACACAGATAGCCACAGACTCACACAGAGAGCCACAGACTCACACAGAGACCAACAGACTCACACAGAGAGCCACAGACTCACACAGAGACAGACTCACACAGATAGCCACAGACTCACACAGAGAGCCATCGACTCACAAAGAGAGCCATTGACTCACACAGAGACACAGACTCACACGGAGAGCCATCGACTCACACGGAGAGCAATAGACTCACAGAGCCATAGACTCACATCGAGAGCCACAGACTCACACAGAGCGCCATAGTCTCACACAGGGACCCGCAGACTCACACAGAGACCCACAGAGGGCCAGACTCACAGAGAGCCACAGACTCACACAGACCCACATACTTACACAGATCCCAATAGACTCACACAGAGCGCCATAGACTCACACAAAAACCCGCAGACTCACACAGAGACCCACAGAGGGCCAGACTCACAGAGAGCCACAGACTCACACAGACCCACATACTTACAGAGATCCCAATAGACTCACACAGAGCGCCATAGACTCACACAGAGACCCACAGACTCGCACAGAGATCCACAGACTCGCACATAGACCCATAACACTAACAGATAGCCGGAGGTTCACAAAGACTCAGAGACCCATATACTCACACAGACAGCCAGTCTCACAGAGTCCCACACTCGCAGAGCCAAAAAACTCACAAAGATACTTAGAATCACAGAGACTCAGAGACTCGCACAGTGACTCACAGAGACCCGCTCACACTGAGACCCAAACTCGCACATATACGTAGAATCACAGACCCACGGACTCGCACAGAGACTAACACACAGACCCACACTCACACAGAGACTCACACAGAGACCCAGACTCACACAGAGACTCACACAGAGACCCACAGACTCGCACAGACTCACACAGAAACCCAGACTCACACAGTGACTCACACAGAGACGTACACAGAGACCCACAGACTCGCACAGAGACGTACACACACCCACACTCACACAGATACTCACACAGAGACCCAGACTCACACAGAGACTCACACAGAGACCCACAGACTCGCACAGACTCACACAGAAACCCAGACTCACACAGAAACCCAGACTCGCACAGAGACTCGCACAGAGACTAACACACAGACCCACACTCACACAGACTCACACAGAGACCCAGACTCACACAGAGACTCACACAGAGACCCACAGACTCGCACAGACTCACACAGAAACCCAGACTCACACAGAAACCCAGACTCGCACAGAGACGCGCACAGAGACGTACACAGAGGCCCACAGACTCGCACGCAGCCAACACAAACTACACAAGAATTCACGGCCAAACAAATCCGCATCGTGCTGTGAACGCGTCTCGAGGCGGCTCAGCGAGGCCGTCCCGGGCTAAGAGAGAGGCGCCCAACAGTAGACCTGAGTTCGAGTCCCGCTCACGACGGAGTCCAGCCCAACACCACCAGAGACAAATGCCCTGGAACCGGCCCCCATGGGACCCGCCTAGGTCTACTCGGCCTCAAAACGCCTTTTACCTGGAGCGGTGTCCCGACATCAACACGGGGAGGGGGGGGAATACAAAGGCGGCCGGGCGTGGTTGCTGGCCCACACACCAACCACTCCCTCCCCGCCGTGTCGTGTGACGTTGTCGTCTTTTAATATTTAAAAGCGCTGGAGCGACCACTGATGAAGGCGCATGGCTTGGCAATGTCGCCCTCTGGTGGCTAAACACGCGTGGCGATGGCGCTTTGGTGACAAATTAAAGACAACCATCCCCACCCACCCACCCCGCCATCATCTCACACTCACACACTCATCCACAAAGACAAAGGTGACCCCCCACCGTATAGCCTGCACAGACTGTTCGGGCAACTGCTGTTAGAGAGCACACGACGGGGGGGTGGCTGTTCCCAGCGCCACGCCCGGCCGCCTTTGTCTTCGTCGGCACTTCGGCGATGTACTCATTTGAGTCTGAGTCGACCTAGGGGGGGAGGGGAGGGCGGAGGCCCTGGACGGGTTCAACGGGACTCGAACTCGGGTGGCCGGGTTCGTAGCCCAGCGCACGAACCGCTCCACCGCCACTCCCCACCGAGAGCCACACACAGCCCCAGCTGCTGCTGCTGCTATACACACAGACACGAAGACCTCCCCGTGTACACAACGCCACCAGGGAGACAAAGGCGGCCGGGCGTGGTGCTGACCCCCCCCCCCCCACCCCCGCCCGTCTCGTGTGCCGTGCCGGCCTCCATTCGGTGCTGCTCGTCAGCAGCACTTGACCCGACAGTCTGCCAAGGCTACACGGGTGACCTTTGTGTGTGTGTGTGTGCTCGTACCTTTAGCGAGCTCCGATTAATATGGGGGCGCCACGGTGGCTAGGAGATGTTAACTGCCTCGCCTGGTACACAGGAGGTCGTGGGTTCGTTCCCCACCCCCGACGCCTGCTGCTGCTGCTGTATATTTGGAGTTTGCGGCTCTCTCTCTCTCTCTCTCATCATCATCATCACCATGGTGGCTATGAGATGTTAACTACGTCGCCAGGTTTACAGGAGGTCGTGGGCTCGATCCCCTCCCTGACACCTGCTGCTGCTGTTTATTTGGAGTTTGCGGTGTCTCTCTCTCTCATCATCATAACGGTGGCTAGGAGATGTTAACTACCTCGCCTGGTACACAGGAGGTCGTGGGCTCGATCCCCTCCCTGACACCTGCTGCTGTATATTTGGAGTTTGCGGTGTCTCTCTCCGCCGTGGTGGGTTTTTCTCCAGGTCCTGCGGTTTTCCCCGCTCCACATTTCTGATCGCACTCCGCGCGGTTTCAGCGTTTGTCTGCTGTGCTATGGATGTCCACGCGACAATGACGATGATGATTATGATCACCCACTCCGTTGAGCTATCACGCGATAGCCAGGGTCGCTTCTGAAAACACAAAGAGCCAAATAGCTCAGGTGGGGGTGGGGGGGGTGGGGCCTTACCTGGTAAAATAAATAACAACGAAATTGATGGATAGTTTTAACATCGCCAGCACCAGCGCCCGCCCCAGTCCCGTGTGAATGACAACGCCGGACACGCGCGTTCTGAATAAATACGTTGTCGACGTTTTATTTCAGTGCGTAGATTTGGGGAGGGGGGAGTTTGGGGAGTAATTACACTGGAAGGGTTGCCCAACCGCACACAATCGACCAATTTAGTTGATAAATTAACACCGACGTCTTGGACTCGCGGATACGACGTGAAAGTATTCGCGGATATGAGTCCCGCCCCCCCCCCCACCTCACCCCCCCCCACCGCCGCGGTGACTCAAACCCGCCCGTCGCATTCACATCAATTGTTTGTCTTTCTGTCATTTCGCCGTGTCTGCAGTTCACTCGCCGACTCCTCCACACGGGGGTGGACCCCCCCAAGGTGATGGTGCGAGTCCGCGTGGTCAGTCGTGGCGAACTCGGTGATGGTGCGAGTCCGCGTGGTCAGTCGTGGCGAACTCGGTGACTGTGTGAGTCCGCGTGGTCAGTCGTGGCGAACTCGGTGACTGTGTGAGTCCGCGTGGTCAGTCGTGGCGAACTCGGTGACTGTGTGAGTCCGCGTGGTCAGTCGTGGCGAACTCGGTGACTGTGTGAGTCCGCGTGGTCAGTCGTGGCGAACTCGGTGGTGGTGTGAGTCCGCGTGGTCAGTCGTGGCGAACTCGGTGACTGTGTGAGTCCGCGTGGTCAGTCGTGGCGAACTAGGTGGTGGTGTGAGTCCGCGTGGTCAGTCGTGGCGAACTAGGTGATGGTGTCAGTCCTCGTGGTCAGTCGTGGCGAAGACGGTGATGGCGTGAGTCCGCGTGGTCAGTCGTGGCGAACTCGGTGATGGCGTGAGTCCGCGTGGTCAGTCGCGGCGAAGACGGCGATGGGAGAGAGCGTTCGGGAGAGCGAGGGAGCACGTGCAAAGTGTGTCAGGCGATGGGACGCCAGGATCCAGGAAGATTCCACAGCTTTTACAGGTTTCATAGGTTCAACAGGTTTACCATTCTTTCACGTTTCCCATATTTCCCGCATTTTTTTCAGATTTCCCAGGCTTCCCGGGCTTCCCATATTTCCCAGGAATTCCGTATACATACATTCTTCAGGTTTCCCCAAGGTTTCGCCAGATTTCCCAAAGGTTTCCCACGACAGCGACCACACAACAGAGACGGTGGGTGATAGCTGGGGGTGTGTGTGTGTGGGAGGGCACAGGTAGCACACACCCATCGCCCCCATCACCCCATCGGCACGCTGTCCCCATCACCACCGTCACCTTCACCACGTGCCCGACCACCCCCCCCCCCCCGCTACCCCCACCGCGCCGCCCCCATCACCGGCACGTGCATCCGAGCGCGGCCATGCCGTCGTACAGCTTGTACGCGATGCCGCCGCCAGGCTCGAGCACGAGGACGCTGACGGCGCCGTAGTGCGAGGGCACGCAGGAGGCCTTGCCCGCGCCCAGCCCCGGCCGGGCCTCCTCCACGATGGTGCACACGACGGCGTGGTTGGGCGCCCCCAGGGCGTGCAGGAGGCCTCGGGGGCACTCGCCGCGGCAGGCGCCCGCCTCGTAGCGGTGCGGCGCGATGATCCACCGGTCCCAGCCCAGGTCGCCGAAGCTCACCGACAGATTGTGCAGGCGGCAGCCGCGGCGGTAGGCGCCCGAGTAGCCCCGCGCCGACAGCCACTGCTGCCGCTGCTGCTGCTGCTGCCGGGGTGACGATGCCAGGGAGGAGGTGGAGGAGGAGGACGAGGTGGAGGACGAGGTGGAGGAAGTTTGACGCCGATCCGGGGTCTCGTGCGGATCGACCCCCTCGGGCAGCAGCGAGCGCGCCACCCTGCGCCTCGCCCTCGTGCCCTCGGCCACGGGGGCGCCCAGCGACGTCCCGGAGGGGCACGGGGCCCACCACCAGAGGCCCTCGCCGCACCTCCAGGGCCCGCTTCTGGAGCTCAGCTTCGATGCGCTGGCGGTGGCGGTGTCCGCCATCGTCGCGATCTTCCTCCTCCTCCTCCTCTTCTTCTCCTCCTCATTAAACATCGTCTTCAGCTTCTTCTGCTTCTTCCACCACAGGGCGTCGAAGCTTTGCCCAACCCGGCTCCCCGCGAGACGCCAGGCGGGGTGGGGGTGGTGGTGGTGGTGGTGGTCCCCTTCCAGGGACCCCGGGACATCCCCGAGGAACCACGGCGAGGAGACCTCCAACTCCTCAGACTTTTCCTCTCCTGCCAGAGGCGGCAACGGCACCGCCGCCACCGCCGCCGCCACCGCCCCCAGGAGGTCGTTCGAGTAGAGGAGGAGGAACGGCGGCACGGCAGCACGACGAGGGACGGACGTGCAGCTCCAGGCCACGCGAAGCGCCGGCAGCGGGGAGGAGGAGGAGGAGGAGGAGGAGGAGGTGGTGGGAGACGAAGATCCAGGGTGGTTCAAGAGGCGCGACACGGGCCCCGTGACGTCCACCTCGAACCACTCGCCCAGCGACACCCTCGGGGCAGCCTCCGGCCCGGGGTCCGAGACGAGGTCCCCGCTGGAGACCGGAGTGGGCTCGGCGCCGAGGTTCGCTGGGACACGTGGGTTGGATGGTTTGGAGTCCGGAGTTGGATGTGCGGTGAGGTTCTGTGTAACGTCTGGGTTCGAGTCCGGGTGAGGCTTGGGCGCTGGTTGAGGGTTCCGGCTGGGGCCTGCGCTCGGCCTTGACGTCGTCTCTCGGTTTGGGTTGAAGTCCCGGTCCGGGTCGGGGTCTCCGCTGGCCTCTGGGTCTCCCGCGGGCTCCGAAGCTCCGTGGTTCGCTCCGACGTCATCCCTCGGCAACATCTGGAAGCACGGGAGGGCGAACCGTCAGCGGTGCTCCAAGTGGGCCCGTCTCGTCAGTGGCCCGGTTCACCTCCACCAATCACCGCTGGTAAACGGTCACTGGTTAACACGTGCGGGTATCACGTGGCGCCACATGGTGACGTGTTAGCTATGGGGTAACGAGTTAGCTACGGGGTAACGTGTTAGCTACGGGGTAACGTGTAGTGCAACGTGGTGACACGTGGGGTATCACGTGGCGTCACATGGTGACGTGTTACGTGTAGTGCAACGCGGTGACACGTGGGGTAACACGTGGGGTAACACGCGTGGAGTGAAGCAGGCGTTACACGCATGAGGGTTACGTGCCAACATGGGGGTGAAACGCACGTTAGTGTGGGAGGTGACGTGGTAAGGAATGTGGGGGTAACACGTCTGGTAGTGGGTGGCGAGTACATGGGGGAAGTGGGGTGGGGGTAACACGTGTGGTGGGTGGGGGTGGTAACACGTGTAGTGTGGGGGGGTCACGTGGTAACGGTGGGGGTGGGGAGGTCACGTGGTAACGGCGGTTACCCGCAGGGAGCACGCGGAGCGGCCGTGGGCGTCCCCAGGGTAGACGAGGGCAGCGCGCAGCAGCAGCTCCCCACGCGGCACCGCGCTCAGGTCAAAGGTCACCACCTCGGCTACGCACCCGGGTCAAAGGGTCAACATGTCAAGGGGTCAATATGGCAACGGGTCAAGGGGTGGAACTATCGCACAGTCCAGTGACGATGTTAACACTTCGCACAGAGTGCTCATTTGAGGCTGGCTTGACCTAGGGGATGCCCCAGTCCGGTTCAGATTATCGTTACTGGTGTTGGCCATGAGGCGGAGTCGAACTCGGGTCCCTGGGTTCAGAGTCCAGCGTGATAACAGCTTCACTACCACTCACAAACACAACAACAACAACAACAACCGCCATTCGCCACTAAGTGGCGCTGACGTCACCACGACGCTTGTGCCAGGCCATGTGCACCTTGAGGCCACGTGAAGTGTCGAACGCCCACTGGCAGGAGGTCACGGAGTAGACCCAGGTGACTGAGATGAGTGGCTGATGCACCACCTGTGCCCCCTACTGTGCCAACCTGCTGTGCTTTAGCAACCCGGCGCTCCGCTCGTTGTTGTGAGCGTCGCTCCTCCGCCCTCCGTTGTTGTTGGAGGGCGACTGCCTCCAACTGCCCAGTAGCGTCATTCACGAGCCTCCTCCACAGAGGCCGATCTTGACACCGCTGGTACCAGTCATCGGCAAGTCCACTCAGCTCCACGTCCTCCTGTACCACATCACTCCATCTCTTCTCTAGCCCGTGCCGCACCCATTTAGCCCCCTCGATTTGGCTGAACAAAAACCGTTTGGGCATGTGGTGATTGGGCATGCGGGCTACATGGCCCAGCCAACGCAACCTTGCTTGCCGGAGGTGCTCACCGATGGGACTTTGTCCAGATCTTTCGAGGATTTGTGAGCTCCTCACACAACCCAGCCTGGTTAAACCCAGGATTGATCGTAGGCAGGCTAGCCTAAATGTTTCTAACCGGCGGAGATGTTCCATTAGAGGGGTCCACGTTTCGCAAGCGTAGAGAAGGAAGGGAATGACTGTGGCCGAGAAGACCCAAAGCTTCGTGTGGAGCGACAGACCAGGTAGCTTCCATACTGCAGCGTTACGCAACCGATAATAATATAATGCCGTTCCACTGATTCGCAGCGAGACCTCTGCTGTTAAACCGGAGCCGGTCATGAGCACACTGGCCAGGTATGGGAAACTCTCCACTCTCTCCACAACTGCCCCATCACCGATTGGGAGTTGTGGGGGTGGAGTGTCCGATGGTACAAAATACCCAGGCAGATGCTTAGTTTTGGTGGGGCTGATGGTAAGGTTTCACCTATGAGTGGCACACTCCAGTTACAGCAGCAGCACCTCCAACTCCTCCTCTGAGTGAGCCGCAATTACCAAATTATCGGCATACATAACGTGGTTGAGCAATAGGGAGGCATCCCTTGACCGCACCCGGGAATTGATCAGCCTCCCATTTTATCTGTACCACTACGTGGTCGAAATATGTTAAATAATGTTGGAGCCAGAGGACATCCCTGTCGCACCCCAAAATGAACAGGGAATGGCTCCGACTCCCGGCCACGTAGTTTTACCCGGGCCTGCTCACCATCATGAAGGTCCTTAATGAGCGTGAGCAGAGGGTCAGGGACTCCGAAAGCACGAAGAACAAACACCCTCACCCACCCAAACCCACGCGCCCTCATCCAACTCAGACACTCGAACCCTTACACCCCCACACACATCCTTACAACCTCACCCATTCTCACCCTTACACCCACTCACACCCTTATCTCTCACCCACCCACCCACCCAATCTATCTTTCACTCACCCACCCACCCACCCACCCAATTTATCTCTCACTCACCCACCCACCTAATCTATCTCTCTCACTCACCCACCCACCCAATCTATCGTTCACTCACCCACCCACCCAATCTATCCTTCACTCACTCACCCACCCACCCAATCTATCTCTCACTCACCCACCCAATCTATCTCTCTCACTCACCCACCCACCCAATCTATCTCTCTCTCACTCACTCACTCACCCACCCAATCTATCTCTCACCCACCCACCCAATCTCTCTCTCACACACCCATCCACCCAATCTCTCTCTCACACACCCATCCACCCAATCTCTCTCACACACCCATCCACCCAATCTCTCTCTCACACACCCATCCACCCAATCTCTCTCTCACACACCCATCCACCCAATCTCTCTCTCACACACCCATCCACCCAATCTCTCTCTCACACACCCATCCACCCAATCTCTCTCTCACACACCCATCCACCCAATCTCTCTCTCACACACCCATCCACCCAATCTCTCTCTCACACACCCATCCACCCAATCTCTCTCTCACACACCCATCCACCCAATCTCTCTCTCACACACCCATCCACCCAATCTCTCTCTCACACACCCATCCACCCAATCTCTCTCACACACCCACCCACCCAATCTCTCTCTCACACACCCATCCACCCAATCTCTCTCACACACCCACCCAATCTCTCTCACACACCCACCCACCCAATCTCTCTCTCACACAACCACGCCTCCTCATCTCTCAGCCGCCCACCCAATCTATCTCTCACACAACCACCCACGCCTCCCCATCTCTCACTCACCCACCCAATCTATCTCTCACCACCCACGCCTCCTCATCTCTCACCCACGCACGCCTCCTCATCTCTCACCCACCCACCTTCCTCATCTCTCACCCACCCACGCCTCCTCATTTCTCACCCACCCACGCCTCCTCATCTCTGACCTGTGGCCGCGGGGTCCCGCTGGGCTCGGCTGAGCCCGGCGGGCGGGATGAGTCTCGCGGTGTTGCTGGGGATGGCGCTGGGACCGCCCCGCGGCCGCCCGTTCTCGTCGGCCTCCCGCCGGTACAGCGCCCGCATGTAACGCACGTGGTGGCGGTGGTGGTGGTGGTTGTTGTTGTTGTGGTGGCCGTGGTGGTGGTGAGAGTCCTCAGGGCCTCGCGACCCACGCGTTGCGGTGGAAACTCCACCACCAACTCCACCACCAACTCCACCACCAACTCCACCACCAACTCCACCACCAACTCCACCACCAACTCCACCACCAACTCCACCACCAACTCCACCACCAACTCCACCACCAACTCCACCACCAACTCCACCACCAACTCCGCCGGCAACGTCGCTGTGGTTCAAAATGTGGCGGAGAAACGGCGACGGAAATCGGTGTAGAGAGACAAAGGCGGCTGCGGCGGTGGCTGGAACACTCTCAGCATCTGCTGCTCCTCCTGCTCCTCCTGCTCCCGTTGCGCCGTTCTCTCCACCGGCGGATTCGCGAGGCTCCTCGCAGGCGACGAGACCGAGAGAGCACGCGACACAGAGGCCGACTGGGAATAACAATCCCCGACACACCACCATCATCATCACCACCATCTTCATCTTCGTCGAATTCTTCTTCTTCTCCTCCTTCTTCTTCCCGCTGTGCGCCCTCTCGCCTCCTGAACGAGACCCGCCAGGGCTGGGGCGGACCCGGGCGTAGCTATTTAAACCTCATCACGTGGATCGCTAATTGGCTTGGGGGGTGGGGGCTGGGGATGAGGTGTTGGTGGGGGTGACGGGGCGTGGCTAACAGGTGTAGGGGGGTGGGAGTGATCAGGGGGGCGTGGCTAACAGGTGTAGGGGGGTGGGAGTGATGAGGTGGGGATGGAGGGGGGGCGTGGCTAACAGGTGTAGCGGGGTGGGAGTGATGAGAGGGGGCGTGGCTAACAGGTGTAGGGGGGTGGGAGTGATGAGGGGGGCGTGGCTAACAGGTGTAGGGGGGTGGGAGTGATCAGGGGGGCGTGGCTAACAGGTGTAGGGGGGTGGGAGTGATGAGGTGGGGATGGAGGGGGGGCGTGGCTAACAGGTGTAGGGGGGTGGGAGTGATGAGGGGGGCGTGGCTAACAGGTGTAGGGGGGTGGGAGTGATGAGGGGGGCGTGGCTAACAGGTGTAGGGGGGTGGGAGCGATGAGGTGGGGATGGAGGGGGGCGTGGCTAACAGGTGTAGGGGGGTGGGAGTGATGAGGGGGGCGTGGCTAACAGGTGTATGGAGGGTGGGAGTGATGAGGTGAGGGGTGGTGAGGGTGGGGGGTGGTGAGGGGGGGTGGCCTGGCTAACAGGTGTAGGGGGGGTGGGAGTGATGAGGTGGGGGGTGGTGAGGGGGGTGGAGGGGGGCGTGGCTAACAGGTGTAGAGGGGGTGGGAGTGATGAGGGGGGCGTGGCTAACAGGTGTAGGGGGGTGGGAGTGATGAGGGGGGGCGTGGCTGACAGGTGTAGGGGGTGGGAGTGATGAGGGGGGCGTGGCTAACAGGTGTATGGGGGGTGGGAGTGATGAGGTGAGGGGTGGTGAGGGTGGGGGGTAGTGAGGGGGGGGGGCTGGCTAACAGGTGTAGGGGGGGGGGTGGGAGTGATGAGGGGGGGGCGTGGCTAACAGGTGTAGAGGGGGTGGGAGTGATGAGGGGGGCGTGGCTAACAGGTGTAGAGGGGGTGGGAGTGATGAGGGGGGGTGTGGCTAACAGGTGTAGGGGGGGTGGGAGTGATGAGGGGGGGCGTGGCTAACAGGTGTAGTTCATAAACGTCATTGGTGCAGGGAGGGGGGTGAACTCCCAAGAGGCGTCGTGTGAAGAGCAACCACTCATTGTGTGCGGCATTGGCATGTTATGTGTTTGATGGGTGACGTTTCGGGTAATGGTCCTTCTTCAGAGTACATCATCAAGAGAGGGCGAGCAAGAGAGACAGAGTGGGTGATAAGAGTTGGGAGGCTGCCCTTGTTCACACCGCGCTCCCCGGTGAGAATTATATTTTACTCTCGTTTCCTGACGAACAACTGTTACCACGCCTAGCAGGGTCTATCCACTGCTGGATGAAGATGAATGTGGTCATGATGTCTCTAGCCTCTGGTCTCTAATCCACGTGTTCCTCTCTCTGCCTCCTCAGTCTCATTCTAAGCGTGCATCTCCTCCACGCCGATTGGAGCCCCGCTCAGTACGTCTCGTCCACAGGGCGTGTTCACGACCGCGCTTTGTTACTCACTCCCAACAATCTATAACTACGTTCAACAGTGGAATCGTTGTTTTTTTTTAAATTCCAGATGCTGACATCAATTTGAAATGAAATGTGAGGCATCACACCACCGGGGTCCCGACAACCTGAGCCTCTGGAGCTGCATGAGGCTCTTTGGCTGCCCCCTTGCGGCTCTTTGGCTGCCCCCTTGAGGCTCTTTGGCTGCCCCCTTGAGGCTCTTTGGCTGCCCCTTGAGGCTCTTTGGCTGCCCCCTTGAGGCTCTTTGGCTGCCCCCATGAGGCTCTTTGGCTGCCCCCCTTGAGGCTCTTTGGCTGCCCCCATGAGGCTCTTTGACTGCCCCCCGTGAGGCTCTTTGACTGCCCCCTTGAGACTCTTTGGCTGCCCCCTTGAGGCTCTTTGGCTGCCCCCGTGAGGCTCTTTGACTGCCCCCGTGAGGCTCTTTGACTGCCCCACGTGAGGCTCTTATGCTGCCCCGTTGAGGCTCTTTGGCTGCCCCCTTGAGGCTCTTTGGCTGCCCCCGTGAGGCTCTTTGACTGCCCCCGTGAGGCTCTTTGGCTGCTCCCGTGAGGCTCTTTGACTGCCCCCGTGAGGCTCTTTGGCTGCCCCCATGAGACTCTTTGACTGCCCCCGTGAGGCTCTTTGGCTGCTCCCGTGAGGCTCTTTGGCTGCCCCCGTGAGGCTCTTTGACTGCCCCCGTGAGGCTCTTTGGCTGCTCCCGTGAGGCTCTTTGACTGCCCCCTTGAGGCTCTTTGACTGCCCCACGTGAGGCTCTTTGACTGCCCCCATGAGTCTCTTTGGCTGCCCCCATGAGACTCTTTGACTGGCCCCTTGAGGCTCTTTGGCTGCCCCTTGTGACTCTTTGACTGGCCCCTTGAGGCTCTTTGGCTGCACCATGTGACTCTTTGGCTGCCCCTTGAGGCTCTTTGGCTGCCCCCTTGAGGCTCTTTTGCTGCCCTCTTGAGGCTCTTTGACTGCCCCCTTGAGGCTCTTTGACTGCCCCCTTGAGACTCTTTGACTGCCCCCTTGGGGCGCTTTGGCTGCCCCCATGAGACTCTTTGGCTGCCCCCTTGAGGCTCTTTGACTGCCCCCTTGAGGCTCTTTGGCTGCCCCCTTGAGGCTCTTTGGCTGCCCTCTTGAGGCTCTTTGACTGCCCCCTTGAGGCTCTTTGACTGCCCCCTTGAGGCGCTTTGGCTGCCCCCATGAGACTCTTTGGCTGCCCCCTTGAGGCTCTTTGACTGCCCCCTTGAGGCTCTTTGGCTGCCCCCATGAGACTCTTTGGCTGCCCCCTTGAGGCTCTTTGGCTGCCCTCTTGAGGCTCTTTGACTGCCCCCTTGAGGCTCTTTGACTGCCCCCTTGAGGCTCTTTGGCTGCCCCCATGAGACTCTTTGGCTGCCCCCTTGAGGCTATTTGGCTGCCCCCCTTGAGGCTCTTTGGCTGCCCCCTTGAGGCTATTTGGCTTTAATAACATGAGATTGGGTTGTTTATCTCTGTGGTTTACAAAACAAAGCAAAGTCTTACACGAGCACACCACGGTGACCTTGAAGAACTGAAACATCGTATCGTTGATGGCGCTACGCCGTCATCCATCTGTAGTGAGTTCAACTGAGTCGCAGACGCACTTCTTGGAGTCAACACATTTATTAAACCCAACACACGGGGTGCTACCCCTTAACACATTGACAACCTATGGTGGTGGACCACCAGGCTAACTGCACTAATTACACTGGCGTTAGCTACGACGGACCGGTCCCTGGCCCAGGTCCACGTGTCGGTGACTCTTGTAGGAACGTAGAACGTAGATTCTTCAGGATGAACAACAGCAGCCGGTCCCGCTCGGGGACCCGGCTTATATCCTCTGTGGTGGCGGGGATGGCTCCGCCCTTAGCCACGCCCACCTTCTAGAATCCTCCAGCAGGTTCTCGACCCTGACACGTTTTTCACGTTCAAGTTTCATTTATTAGGAATAGCCCTGTGAGCCATGCGGCTCTTAAGTCGGGTGCAACCGCAACAAACAAAATATGAATCTACATTGCAGAAAACTATTACACCACAACCAGACCAAAATGAAGCTACATAAACAATGTAACAACAGTAATCATAGGAACTGTGATTTTTAATTTATACATAACACGTACGACAAAACCTGCAGCCATAGCTGGCAGCACGACACTCCCAGTGTATGATGTGTGAGTGAGTCAGCAGCAGCGTGAGTGAGTGTATGATGTGTGAGTGAGTGTATGATGAGTGAGTCAGTGTATGATGTGTGAGTAAGCGTATGATGAGTGAGTCAGTGTATGATGAGTCAGTCAGTGTATGATGAGTGAGTGAGTGTATGATTTGTGAGTCAGCGTATGATGAGTGAGTCAGTGTATGATGTGTGAGTGAGTCAGTGTATGATGAGTGAGTCAGTGTATGATGAGTGAGTCAGTGTATGATGTGTGAGTGAGTCAGTGTATGATGAGTGAGTCAGTGTATGATGTGTGAGTGAGTGAGCAGCAGCGTGAGTGAGTGTATGATGTGCGAGTGAGCGTATGATGATTGAGTCAGAATAAGGTTGAGTGAGTGTATGATCTGAGTCAGCGCACGATGTGTTAGTCGGCGTATGATGAGAGAGTCAGTGTATGATGTGTGAGTGTATGATGTGTGAGTCAGCGTATGATGTGTGAGCGAGTCAGCGGCAGTGTGACTGAGTGTATGATGTGCGAGTGAGCCAGCACACGATGAGTGAACCTGTGTATGATGAGTGAATGGGTCAGTGGTTGTGCGAGTGTATGATGTGTGAGTGAGTAAGCGCATGATGAGCGAGTCAGTGCATGGTGTGAGTGAGTCAGTGCATGGTGTGAGTGAGTCAGTGTATAATGTGTGAGTGAGCCAGTGCATGATGTGTGAGTGAGTCAGTGTATGATGTGTGAGTGAGTCAGTGCATGATGTATGAGTGAGTCAGACATGATGTGTGAGTGAGTCAGTGTATGATGTGTAAATGAGTCAGTGTATGCTGTGTGAGTGAGTCAGTGTATGATGTGTGAGTGAGTGTATG